GCCTGAGTACTCCGTATGTGCATAACCCTTACACTGAACACTGAACCCAGTCTGACCATCGGTGTGAAGGCGAAAGAGCTCGAAATCTGAAACAGGCGACGCGTACGTCAATTCCCCAATCAGGAGACGGTGGTCCCCCAGAGTGGAGATCCAGGACGCCTGAAACCAGTCAGAGACGCCATGGGTAAATAGTCCGACCCTAGTCCCCCGTAGTAGTATCCAGCTATTCTTGGGATTCCTTCTTCGAAACTTCCATCCTCGCTACGGGGGCGACTATGAGACTCTGAGACTGCCGGGGTAGTTTGTTCTTGTACAGATACTACTACGGCGTATGTGTATTATTGGAAATTGAAATCCCCATAGCACCATATGTCCATATCAGCAGTACCACACCACCGTCGGGAAGGGATCGAGAAGACCCAGTAATTGTCATTCCTCCCGGCCTCACTAACCATCTTGTTCGTAGCTCGGAATATCCGGTGGCTTTCCGTGGCTTACTATTTGAAAATATGTTCCGAGGCGCCAACGCTATTATTCTTCTGATCATTGACGTTGATTGATGATTTCATGTTAATCCGTCCTTCTGATCCTCGGCCTGATTTCAAATACCTTCAATAGTCCACCTTCCACCTTCCTACAATGACGCTGATAATAAATCGTGGCGAATTGCTCACAGAGTGTGTCACGCTACCCATCTGCTGTTCTGGAATAATGTACTATTGTCGCTCAATGCCAAGAGGACCGCCTCCTAGACCGGAAGCTGGATAGGACCGAGTCCCGACACATTGTGCCACAGCAACTTTCTTTTGCGGGGACTCCCAAGTCCCAAGTACCAAGGGCAAGTACACCGTGTCCACAATCCTAGATGCATGCTACCGCTGCATACTGCATTGCAACCCGGGGTTCCTTCGGTAGGTTGTACCCCATCTTACGTGGGCTAGCGGGTGTTCACAGTCATGGGTCTGGATAAGAATCGGCTCCGGCGACTGCCAACAAACGAGGTATTATTATTTATCATTTTTATGTCCTCAGAGCCAATGCCAAAGAGGCGACCTCACTAACACGGTTACTTACGGTGTACACCGTACGGTGCGCTTGGTTGCTGTGGATATGGATGAGTGATGAAAATAATCCAATCGCAACGCAATGCGCCTTGATAGTGCCGGGGAGGATTCCGGCACTTCCAACGAGCCAAGAGAATTCTCACCACTTCTCCCGTTTGGGGAACGAGAGCGAGAGAAAGAAAAAGACAACAGAAAGAGTCGCCACGATAGGCGAAATTGAGTTCTGTTCCTGGATTCTTGCAAAGCTAGCAGGGGTCGATCACCGCCCATCGGACCTAGGTAAACAAAGAACTGAACATTTGCCCTCAGCCATTAGCACGTGCGCCGATCCGAGAGAGACAGACGGTGCTGCTGGGGTTGCATCGTTGACGTGACCGACTAGTCTAGGCTATGCGCAGTGCGTCTTGGGTTTCCGCCTTTCCGGGCACTTTGCCCCGGTCGACGGCAGAGAGATGCAGGTTGGATGGGGACGAACAACCGCCTTAGCATCGAGCAGCTACGGAGGGAAGTGGATATGCCAACCGGAGGGTTGCCTTAGCGTCCAAATCTTCCTGCGCCTGGAGATGCGAGTGGCTGATAACCCCGAGTCTATTCCTCCTGCGGCAGGTGGTCGATTTTCCCGTCCCGCTAGGAAAGAAAGGCGTGAACGTGGGATCCATTTCGCATCTGCTCTTTGGTCTCTTGCCCAAGGTCCTCGTCGCCTCCAGCCGTCCACCCAGAATGGATGCTGTGAATCAGTGGCTTGAGGAAGTGGTTCACTATTACGTCCCTCACTGCTCTGGTTTCGCCCGAGTATACCACAAACGGCGAAAAAAGAGTTTCGGATGCTCACCGAGTTCCATGGACACGAGAAGCAAGAAAATAGCGCGAACCCTTCTCGCGGGACGAGCTTAAGCTGCGGTTTGAGTTGAATTCCTGATGCTATTTACAGCTACGATGACCAAACATTCAGTTGTGGATGTGGAACTGTGGAAGATGCAGCTGCAATGGACATGGTCAGGTCCGGTTCCTGCCTTCAGCCCTGAACTGAACTCGAAGACGTATCAAATTGTCACATGCAAATTGCCACTGATCATCTCAGCACAGATGAACTGCAGAATGGATAAAAAGCAAAGATCACACACAAGTACAGCCCCAGGAAGACTCGAGAGAATCTTACCTGCGTTCGCCGAGGGCGGCCCCCAAACGTCATCATTGGCCTTGACTTGAAGGATGGCGAGCGCAACCTCTGAATGGCAGGTCCGTTTTTACGTTGGTTTTTTTCAATGCGTCTTCAATTTCGGTTTCCTACTTATCTCCAACCTCAAAGTCTGGTACGCTTTTTAAGCCGCCCAACTAGTTCAATTGATAACGCGCTTTTTTTCCCTCTGCAGATGTCGAAAAATCAGATCTTTGGACTCGGACCAGAAGGGCATAGTGCGATCCAAACCAATACTCGCTAGGGTTGAACTCTATCTGGATAATTATCGTCGGTCCAACTCCACACAAACCGCCTTTGCATGGCCAGCGGTACGCAGGACACAACCGGCCCCAAATGGTATGCCCAGCAGCCGTCTCACGGTGAGACCAGCATCTGCAAGGTCTGCTCCAATCGGGGCGGCGCAGTTCGTGGGTCCAATGTGACAATATGCAGTCCGCATGAAGCCCCATGGACATTTGGACCGGGAGACCAGTGAAGGATCTTATCCTGTTGGTTTAACTACTGCCGCCGGGCTGTAAGCCTGTAATACAGCGTATGATCGACGCCGGGCCCATGCCCGGGGAGGGCGCTTGCAAAAAGTTGGGGCTGGGGCTGCATTTCGCATTTCGCACGACGCACCGTGCAAAGCGGTGTGGGTTCCTGAGACTGGGTTTACGGAAACCGGGATATTTGGAACATCACGAAAATGGTGCGAGCCGGCCGAGTCGAGTGGAGGAAGGAAAGACGCTGGGACGGCAGATAAGATGCGCGCCAGCTTCCACACAACGGGACAGATCTCGAGAGAAACCGGGTCGATGACGAGGATCTCTACAAGTGTATGGTCTGATTCCTTCAAAGACTATTCTTTGGGTCTGGTGGAATTCCCACCTGAGACAATCTGAAGCACTTGCCCACAGGATTATTGTTCCGAGCGCAGTGAACGCACGATGGTCCATGACTCTCAGTCCCTCCGTTCCAGCTTTTGCTGTCTGTCTTTTTTTTTTTAGCGAGGACCAGGCGGAGGCTGTACCGCTGGACCTGTGCAGCGTTCGGCCCCAGCGTTGACGTTATCCTCCGTCAACCGACTCAGCCGAGCCTCCCTCGTCTCGAGATAAGCCAGCAGGATTTACAGGCACGAACTGGGGAACCGTGGATCGGATGGCCCGTAATTCGGCCAACGGGCAGCGCATGAGGTCATTGGCAGTCGATACTGTGTATCTGCAAGCGATCCGACAGGACCTCGGGCTGGCACTCATGAGAATCAGCAGCACAGCACGCATGGGATATGCACGAATAGTACTGAATAATGAGCATAGGCTACCACAGGACGGCGCAGGCCGTACAACTACTGATTTTCGCAAACTGCAATGCGCAGTACATAGGCCAAGCACTCGGACCAGACAAATCTATCTATCTGAACTAAGGTATGAAATCTGTCATCGTCTGACAGGATTCAAATCATGCAGAAACGGATCTAAGAAAAATCAAACCGGCCCCATTTGTTCATCCTGAAGAGTGATAATCAGGGAGGCTGGCCGTAAGGCTCAACTGCAACTCTGCAAGCATGACTCGGCGAGGCCGGACAGATAGCCAGTCAGCCCAGCACACAGAACCCCAACACCCCCAAAATCAGACCAGCCAACGAACTCAAAAAGAATGAAACAGATAAGAGAAAAGAAAAGAAAGTCAAGAAGGCCTCAGTGGATGGTAAGTGAGATCACATATCCCAGTGGGAAATCAGTCTCTTCCTATCATATGTAAAACATCCAAGTAACTCATCATAAGCCTATGAAGAAGAAAAGAAAAAAGAAACCAGAGGCACGAGAAAAAAACTCTACGAAAAACAACCAACCCTCGTCCCCACCGCCCTTGCTCACATAATCACCCTCAACCAATCACACCCCCAAAAAAATGAGACTAAAACTACCCGAGCCCGGAAAAACGGAACAACCCTTCCCCGGGGCCCCTCTCCCACACATAAATAGCCCTCCCCCTCAGCCACCATTTTGCGAACTTTTTTCTCTTCTTTCTTTCCTTCGTGCGGCGACGCAACTATTATTTCACCCGTGTTGCCTGGACATCTATCTTCTGTGATGTTTCCCCAGGTGTCAGTTGCGTCACAGACGAACGGAATTGCACACCGGTTCTTACTTTATTGGTCTTTCTGTCGTGTTTTTCTCTACTGGGATTAGACCATTTGGTTTGGGATCGGACATACCTTTTTTTCTATTTGCATACTTTTGTGTGTGTATGGGAATATTAGATGCTGGTGTATCTTTCTTTATGTGGATTGGTGCAGTGGCTTGCTTGCTCTAGTTTTTTTTATTATCTAGATGGATAGAATTGTAGATCTGAATATGATTGCGTTTTTTGCTGGAAAATATTGTTGCTACTCTATGTTGCTTCTGTAGGATTGAACGAGCATCCAACTCTGTAAGCTAATACAAGATGGGTTCAAGAAGGATGCCACCGCTCGTGTTCTACCGGACACCATGTCGTTTGGCTGCTCTGTCTGAATCTATCCTTTGAATGCTGAAGCAGTAGGTTGATGCTTCCATGTTCCCTACTCTACGAATCCCAGCTCTCTGTCTATCTGTCCGTCTGTCTATCCGTCTGTCTGTCCGTCTGTCTGTCCGTTCGGTCTTGTTTGAAATGACTTAAACTTATCATGGATAGGGTTATCTCCTACCTAACCTGAAACCTGACGTCCAGTCTATCAAATCAACCAATCCGCCCTAGAGATACTCCGTAGAAATCTACTCGCCCGGCTCATCGCCAATCTTCTCCAACTTGCCCATCTCGCGCTTCTCACCCGCCTCCCCAAAGATACGCACGCGATCCACCCGCAACTTCTCGCTGTCCCCATCGCCATCCACAAAGAACAGCACCAGCGACGTGACGCTCTGGAACTTGACGAACCGCAGATCCACCTTGGCGGTACCCGTCTGCGCATCATAGTCGCCCGGCTGGATCGTCACCGTCTGCACGGCGGGGATATCCTCCGCCTCGTCGAAGCCCAGCACATGCGACCGGTTCGTGTACAGCTGCAGCGTCTTGGGGCGCATGGGACGCTCGTCCTCGTCGCGCTCCTCATCCTCGCCCTCGGCCGGCGGCAACGACGTAATCTGCAACGAGTGCACCTTCACCGTCGACTGGAACGGCACGTACAGCATCAGTTGCTCGTCCGTGTCGCTTTCCACCCAATCCGGTGTCGAGGCCTTGCCTTTCCCTGCTAGCGCCGACGGCTTCGACGCATCGAACAACGTCCGCGCCACCCCGAACTTGCTGTCCCGGTTCAACAGCTCCAGGCCCTTGGGGTCATATTGATCCGTAATGTCGCCGTAGCCTTTGGGCACCGAGGCGCCTACCCAGCCGACGCTGGAGGTCGTGTCGCCGGAGGAAGAGTCCGCGGGCGTCTCGTCGCTTTTGGTGGCTTCGGAGGCGAGCTTGCGAACGGCTTCGGAGAGTTTCTGGGGGTCGGCGCCGCGGACGGTATTGATGGGGCGGCCGCGTTGGAAGACGATGAAGGTGGGCATTCTATGTTTTTCTTTGTTAGTTTTGTATCTTTTGCTTTCGGACAAAGTGCAAGGGGGAGGGTGGCCGGTCGAGGATTTGTAGAAGTTTTCTTTCTCAGAAGGACGCGAGGTTGAGCAAAGAGGAGGACGTACGCTGTAATTCCATACGCCTTGGCAATATCTTGCTGATGGTCAACGTTGACCTTGGTGAATGTGATCCGGTTGGGACGCGAGAGCTGCGTCGCCAGTTTCTCGTAGGCAGGGGCGATGGCTTTGCATGGTCCGCACCAGTCTGCGTAGACTTTCAAGAGAAAGAAAGAGAAAAAGGTTAGTATAGTTCTTTCTTGGTAATCTGGGAAATGCTCTCGAGGGCAGAGTGCGAGATGAAATAGACCCCCGGATGGATGAGAGGTGAGATGAGGGGAAACGCGGGGCGAGACAACGATGCACAACAAACTCAAACTTACAGTCGGCCACAACAAAGACAGAAGATGTCAGGAGAGAGCTGAATTGCTCTTTGGAGGTGATGTGCACGAGGGATGACATCGTGGCGGTGAACTGGGGAGGGAGGGAGGAGGAATGAAGAGGGGAAGGAGAGGCTGGAGTTGTCCGGTCAAGATGAAGCAGCATCGATCGTTATATGTCATCAGCCCCTCCGTCACTTTGTCTGGCCCACACTTGCGGTGTCTACAACGACCGCCATCGTGACTCGATGACAGCCTTGTTTGTTAATTTGATCTAGTTTGGGTTTATGTATGGGGTTTACTTTTTACACTTAGGTTGATATGATTTTAGCAGTTCTCGTTGAGATGTCCATTGCAATCTCATACCGACAATATATATTTGCCTGGTAGATCAACCAGGCAAAGGTATTCTTTGTCTGAAATAGCCCGCCTTTCTTATCTATAGACAAACCTGTCTCTTCTATATACATGCAGTGAAACACACCTTGTCACCCCTCAGAGATTCCCAACAAGGAGGTCCTTGTGCCCACCGGTCTGTTCCGGGGGTGCACAGAGTCCCTTCTCGAGACCTTCCTGCCTGCCTGCCTTCTTTCCACATAGACACAGGCTAGCAAGTCAGGACGAATGGGACGAGCTGTCAAGTCATGCGACCATGTCCAGTCTAACCCAACCCCAAGGGAGTGGTGACGGCTCGTGGTATAGAGGATTTGCCCAAGATAGAGCTCTCCAGCAAAAAGCCAGCCAGCCCACTTGAAGACCAAGATGAAGAGTAATAACCAACACACTCAGTGCCGGTCCAGTCGAATCTAGTCCTGTCGATCAATCAAGTCTTCGACTCGCCATCCCCATCCCCATCCTGATCCTCATCCACCGCAAACAAAACCTTCATCCACAAACTACACCCGCGACACCCAACCACAATCTCCCCATGCTCAACCTCCCTCTCCAGCTCCTCCTCCGAAACCAAAAACCCCTTCTCATCACCACACCGACACCCGCGATACCAAACTGCCTGATGACCCATCTCATCGTCCCCTTCATCGCACGCCAAATCCTCTAGATCGACAACCTCCAGGCCCGTATGGAACACCGTCCCTGTCTCCTCTCGGCGCGCGGCCTTCTCGCGATCCAGACGCAGTTCGCGATCGTATTCTGCGCGGAGAGCTGGGTCGGAGAGCGTGCGGTAGGCGAGGGTGATTTGGTCGATTGTGTAGGTGGTTTTGGGAGTTGCTGGGGTCGCGGGGGAGGGAGGTAGGTTGTTTTTGTTTTGCGAGAGTGGCTGCGATTGTGACTGCGACTGCGAGTGTGTCTGGAGGTCTGTGTCTTTCGTCTCGGAGGAAGCTTTGTCCGGGTGGTGTTTTAGGAGGGCTTTGTGGTATGCGGTCTTGAGTTGTTGTTTGGATAGAGATGTTGTCGTCGAGCTTGAGAAAGGGAGGGAGAGGATCTCATAGTGATCGTGAGTGAGTGTGTGCGATTTGGTCATGGTGGTGATTTTGTATCTGGTGGGATATTTTTTTGGTCGTTGCCCCTCGGCGGGCAGAGGGAGGGAAGAGGTTGGGTCTGTTCTCTTGCGTCGTGGCGAGGGAGGATGTTCGAGGGGTTTGTCTATGTATAGAGTCTGGTTGAGGGGTTGCGATGCCTGGAAAATGAGATTTGAGTATGGTGACCCCTTGGTGGTGAGGTTTGTGTTGCTGGAAAAGGAGATGAAGGGCGCGGAGTGCGGAAGTGAAAGTCGGAGATCAAACTTCAGTGTCGGCCGCCGCCGCCACTCCAGATTGCTACGACCCTGCGAACCACCAGGGGTCAAATGATCTATATTCTGCGGTGAATAGGGCTGCGCGTTAGACACCGGACTATCTATAACTGTCTCTGGTAAATTATGATGTTACAATGGCTATTGACCGTACAGTTGGACCATGCTCTTTGAAACCAGAGCAGCGGACGACAAGTCATTGGACAGGCAAGTTTCTCTTCTGTATAACATAGTCTTAATGCCCACCGAGTCTTCGAGACTTTTAGTATCTATGGCAGCTAACGAAACATGATAGCAGGGCCATCCATGTATGGCTGGGAATCTAAACGACACCAGCACCGGATATCAAAATAACACAGGCACGAAAAAACAAACGCAGTGCTTCACGGCTGAAAAATATCATTCAATCAAAAGACGGATGCAGACCCTCCCTCTCCAAGCCTCTACTCGGAGGTCTTGAAGACATAGCGGTCCTCGGCCTTGGTGGTGAAAGGGACACCGAGCTCCAAGAGCTTGACAAAGACGTCGGAGAACTCCTTGAAGAAGACGTCGCTGTCCTTGGCATAGCGGTCGACATGCTTCTTGAACTCCTTGTCCTTGACCATGACGATATCGGTGGGCATCATCATCAAGGTGCCGGTGCTCTTGTCGGTGAACTGGGTCGGTCCGTTCCACTTCTTCTGCTGCCACTTCTCGTCGAGCAGGAGACGGAAGAACTCGTTGGTGAAGACGGTAGGGCTGAAATCCCAGGGTCCGTCGAAGCCGGAGCGATCGGCGTGAGCACGGCCCAGGGCGTGGGCACCCACGAGGGCTACGATCTCCTGGTCGTTGAAGCCCATGCGGTAGAAGATGTCGCGGACGTGCTTGTGGTCCTTGGTGGCGTCGGGCAGACGTCCGTCAGGGGTGCAGGCGGCGACGTCCTTATCCTGACGACCGGGGCGCCAAGGGATGGCAGGGCCGCCCAGCTCCTGGATGGCACAGGCACCGGCCAGGGTCCAGAGATCGGAGTAGGTGATCCACGGGAACTGCTTCTTGATGGGCTCCAGGAAGTCCCGAGCCAGCTTGAGACCGGCATTGGCGCCGTGGTCGGACTCGGGAGCGAATCTCATCGTGGCACCGTTGCTTCCTCCGGTGCCGGTTTCCTTGTCATAAGTGCCGCTTGCGTGCCAGGCCAGACGCACGAGAACCTATGATCCCAACATTCGATTAGCTTCTTCGATTGCAGATGCCTTGGGGATAGAAAAATAAAGACGAAGAGACGGAAGAATCATCAATTGGGAGGAATGAGACTAACCGGACCATAGCTGCCGTCATCATAGTCAGTCTCATCGGCGAGACGACGAGCGATCTCGTCGTACACCTTCTGGTAGTCCTTCTGCGCGGGGACAAACTCCTTGGAGCTGACCGAGTCGCCGCCGTTCAGGTAGAAAAAGGCACCGGCACCACCGGCGACGGCGAGACCAGCCCAGAGAAGGCCATTGGAGGACTTGCCCTGGCCAGCCTCAGAGGCATAACCGCGACGGGACGAGGCACGGAAGCCCTGGGCGGGAAGAGCGAAGCGCGAGCTGCGGACCGCCGGTCTGAAGGAGGAGGTGGCCGGAGTGGAGCGGAGGAAGGCCCGGGAGGCAGATCGAGCAGCCGAGGCCATGGTGGATATTGAGGATGAGGACAATTGAAATGGGAAGGAAATGAGATTGGAACTAGAGGAATGTGTACAGATGGTTGAAGGAGAGATGGGACGTGAAAGAACGATCAATCACAGTTGAGAGAGTGTGAAGAAGAGAGAGAGAGAGAATGACAGATCGAAAGAAGGAGAGGCCAGCAGGGGATAAGGATAAGTACTAATAGTGCGGCCAACCCATGGCTGAACGACCTTCTGTTTCCTCTCTTACTGGACCAATCACCGAGGCCAAATGGGCGAGATCTGGACCGGATTCTTTTGACTCAGCGTCTAATTGTGAACTACGGAACTAATTTAGTCGACTCTCTCCGCATTTCCTGCAGTTCCTATCGTCGCGATGAGATGAGGAGAAGGAGGAGACGAATTGCGCGGGTGAGATTGACAGGAGTCAACCCATCCGGTCTGTCTGAATGTCACGGCGATTGTTTACTTGGATGCTCGTCTGAATTGAGATCATTTTCCCAGGCAGCTGGTAACTCGGTACGCCCTGTCTCTTCCAAAGAAAGTCGATTGTTCCTCGCGAGGGGCAGGAACCAGAGCAACGACGATAACCTCGGGCGGGTCCCCGGCGTCATAACTCCCAAGATTACAAACCGCTCGTCGCTGTTTGGCAGACGAGAACCGGTGGGATCCACTTGGGGGACGCTGCATTATTCATCGATCGCTTCTGGTCGCTCCTCGGCGACTGAGACCGAGGTTTCTCGACTTACTGTAGAAATCGACCGGTCGAATTACTCAGGGGGTTTATCATCCTGTCGAAAACTCAGACTGAAGTCGAGATCTGAAGATGACCAATGTTGGATATGCACAACATTAGCACTTACTTCCTGCGATGCAGTCATGAAGACACTAGAAAGGGATGCGTTGCCAGTCCTACTGATGCAACATTCCTCATGCCCATCTACATGGCTCCAACCGTGTTCTTTTCATCCAAATCAATACTCAAATTCTATCGTGATTATGTCCGTCGTAAAAAAGTCCTGCCGTTCGATCAAAGCGAACACCAGGGTGGAGTAGACGCAGCTCTGCTAAAAACTGTTTGGTTTTGATCTCCCACTGAACGAACTAAGAAAAAAGTATGCCTCTTCGCCATTGATCAAGCTAGAAGCGCACTGTGTGGTTGTTCGTTGACACTATAACCTGCGAGACATGATGCAGGGAGTGTATACTCCGTAGAGCATATGAATGAAATTGTACGAAAATTGTCGAGAACATCGCAAGCGACGACAGATACGGAGAGACGTCGACATCAGAACGACTCCGCGCATTGCAACGGATGGAGAGAAGAGGAAGAAGAAGAATCGACGGGAAGAAAAAGACGAGGGAAAGATTCGGCGTGTGTCACGTGGACGCTACGGCGGGAGGCTCGCTTGAGTGGGACGCTAGGCCGGTTGGGGTAGCATGTTGAGGGCAGCTTGTTCTCGTGGAGTATGGAGTATTGTAGATAGTCTTCCAAGGAGTGTCAGTCATTGGAGATCAGGTGCTAGTATCTGAGATAAAATTGATCATATTGGTTGCGATGATATGGAATACTCGTTGGGACTGTGGACACTCCCTGATGCTTTCACCAGTTCGCGTTCGCAGGCAGAACGCAGCGCAGAAATAGGCACGTGTAGCAAGTAGTAATCTGGCAATCTCGCCATGCTGATAGAATTGGAATCGAGTCAGTGTCACTGTCGAACTTCTTTCCACTTCCCTCTGGGGGTCGTAATGACTTTGAGTATGGCATGAATCTGATAGCCAGCTCATTTCTGCCTCAGGCACCCATTATATCCCACCATTCACGTGACTCCCGAGAAAACATTTAACGCGCGAAATCCCGGCCACAATCCTTCCTTTCCTCACACTTTTCATACCTCACGAACGCATAATCAACCTCCAATTCCTTCTATCCATAGGATGGCAGGTCATATTGGCGTACTAGAATAATTACCCTAGGGCAATTTAAGGCTCCTCTACCGTGCTGCTGCTTCTCCCGAAGCTTCGAGTGCGATGGTGGATGGAGTCACCTGCTGCTCAAACATTCCTTTCTCTCAATCATGGATTGAAAAGAGAATGCGTACTCCGTAGTCTCATCGGGATAGTTGTCCTGTATCGAGTATCTCTCTAGACAAACAACCATCTGTGTTGGGCTTATTGGGCTGCTCTGGGCCTGGCTCATGCTCACGGCCGACCACTGCACGGCGTGTTTCCACTGTGCAGAAGAGTCAAGGCCATTGTGCAAACTGCAGAAACCTGGCTGGCAAATAGATCGGCGCAAGAAGAAAGTCAGCCGGCTGCCCCTGATGTCTGGCCCATGCGAGGGACCGATGTCTCCGTCCAAATTCTTAATTTATCCTCAAAGACAACCGGAGTTGGACTCCGACGTGGTGATAAATTAATCTCTCTCGCACATGGCCTCTATTAATAGCCAAGACACCGGAGAGGATCGAGGCATTCCATCTGCATTACTACGGAGTACGGAGGATAAATCCAAGAATTCATAGAAGTCAATCAATCTATAGTTACGTGTACTATCGTCCATCCTGCTCTGCCGTTGGCGATGAGAGTCGAATCCCACCGACCGCAGCATTTCCCCACATCGATCATCCCTGGCCACTTCCCTCCTTTTACTCGCCTTCTCCCCTCCATTTCTCTTGGATCTTCGCTCTCAGCCCCCATCCACTCCTTGCCATCTTCCTTCGAAAAGGATTAAAAAAAAAGTCTTGGGTTCTTTGTAAATATGCTTCGTCTTTTCGTCTGAACAATCCTCCGTTTCCCGCCCCGGAAGCTCGGCCCGTCGACTGCGACATTTTTTGGTTTCATCTGTGGATAATTGCACACTTTCTTTCACTCTTTTTCTTCGACTCGGTTGGGCCTCGATAGCAAGGACACGTCTTTCCTGATCTTCCGGTCATCATGGTGGTCGGTATCAGCAAACGGTCGCAGTTCCGCAATGAGCGGGCGCTGCAGGATCTCATCCGCTCGGTTCCTGGAAATGACCGTTGCGCAGACTGCGATGCGATGAATCCAGGTGAGTTGCCCCGTCCGGATACATCGGGCTTGAGGG